TTGAATCCATTGTTTTTTCAATGACTGTAGGAGGACTTTTACATCTTTTTCACTCTTCTGTCAAGTTCATGTGTTTATGTCATTGATCAGTTTTTGTTCTCATCGGTGAGATATTTTGTTTGTTTTTTTTTTTTGTCTTTTTTTTGTTGTTTTTTTTTTGGCGGTGGTAGAGGCGTATAATTGTGTATTTACTGCTTTATTTGATTTTGAGCGGATGTATACTTTCCCCCAATCCAGGCGAGTTCGGTTGGTGTATGCATCGTGTGCACGCATCGTCCGTATACAGACGATCCTTAAAAGTCCATTTCGGTTACTTAAGGATCGTCTGTACTTATTATGTTACTCTGTTACTTACATTGAGCTTTCTCTGGATTATTAACCTCCTTGGAATTATCCCTACCAATTGGTATTATATATATGACCCTAAATCAGCCGGGTTTCGATCCTAGCTAGAGGCAACAGGACGTCTATCCACACTGATGAGCTGTGACACAGCGAAACAGTCTGTCTGCGGATGACAATATATATATATATATATATATATAAATTTAATGTTTATGTATCTTACACATGGTATATATATATATATATATATATATATATATATATATTATTGTATTTGGGCAGCAATCATTCTTTCATGCAAGCTTCATTAAATATGACAGACAAGGTGCATTGATGAAGTTTTTTTATATAATTTCTTATATGATGTTAGAATTATTTTCTTTTCAGTAGATGAATTATACAAAAACTGTCGAAATGTTATATTTTCCTTTAGCCATTTTCAAAGATGAAAATTCGAAACATACCTGTTGATAATACAAATATAATCGCATCGTGTACATATAAAAAAAGGCTAAAACAATGGAAGCTTATTAATAAAAACAAAATAAAACAACACTCAGTAATATGAAGTATGAAGATGGACACCATATGTTGACTGTGTTTTGAAAATAAAACATTCTATAATACTAAACGAATACATACAACAATCTATTTCCAGTTAACAGTAAGTATATTTCATCCTTAAAAATGACTTTAAAATATATAGCCGAAAGCTCTCCAGAAAATATAACATTTGGACAGTGATTGTATAAATTATCTCCTGAAAAGAAAAAATATATATACAGTGTAACCCGGATATAAGTGAGTTGTCGCGACCGGAGAAGAAGTCTCTTATATCCGGGTTTGGTCTATTTTGTTTAGGTAAGTATGGGCTCTAATTTGGGACCAGAGAAAATCTCTTACATCCGGGTTACACTGTACCATCATTTGAGAAATTATATAAAAAAACTTAATCAAAGTAACTTTTTATTATATTTAATGAAGATTGCATATATATATATATATATATAATGTCATTTTAATTATATACAGGCATGCATGTCACTTGTTGTTATAAGGAAGTTTAACATCCAGACAAGTGGGTAACGAGACAGATATAATACTTGGATTGATAAATGGAATTAAATTGCCAAAGATCAGTAAACAGACTCACAGACAGACTGAGATAGCAAGTCTTGATACCGACAGACAGATGGGGGGCAGGTTGTGATAGCTGTTAGCGAAATAGATTGACTGACAGACAGACGGGTAAATAATTTGGTTCAGATCCAGTTATGTAATCGAAAAATTGCGCGCACGCACCTGGTTATAAGCTTATGCAATTTTACAGATAATCGTTTTGTCCCAGGCAGCAACCCGAGATCTAAGCATCTGTGAGCTCCGGCCAAGATCTTGGTGTGTGTTTTCTGTTTGTTTGTATAAAAACCGCCTCGATATATACGAATCCACCCAGGTCACGTGGTTTCTTTGCGCGCGCGCGCACACAGTAAACATTTTTTTCCTTATTCTCTCTATAGATCTTCTTTCATTTCTTTCTTTCGTTGTAACCCTTCTTTTTATAAACCTTTTTCTTTTTTATATTTTCATACGATTCATCGAGTTGCTGTTTGCGACAAAACGTTTATTTGTACACTCTGCATGCACCTCTGTGTGTGTGTGTGTGTGTGTGTGTGTGCGCGCGCGCACCCGCACGTCTGTCTGTGTGTATGTGCGGGCACACGCACACGTGTTTACGCCTCCCCAAACATAATGAGCCTGAGCAGGAAGATCACAAGACGGGAATGCAAACATACCTGAGAAAGAAATCCTATTGTGGGACAAGAACCTTTTGTTCAGATTCATGGGCTATTTTTAACTGGGTTGGTTGGATAGAAGACATTGAGCTGGTATCTAGGATTTTATAAAAAGTCGAAAATCCCGTAGAGAAAATAAAGAGGATCGGTTTCAATATTGGATGAAAATTATCAATGAAAATGGAAAGAGAATAAGAAGAAAAAAAAAGAAACAAACGAGAAAAGAAAGAAAGAAAGAAAGAAGAGAAAGAAGAGAAAGAAAGAAGGAAAGGGAAGGAAAGAAAATCTGATGAAAGACAGATAATCTGAAATAAGAATGAAAGAAGGACTGCAGGAAGGAACGAGAGAAAGAAGGGACGAAAGAAAGAGAAAGAACGAAAGAAAGAAGGAAGGAAAGAGAAGGCAAGAAAATCTGAAGAAAGACAGAAAATCTGAGAAAAGAATGAAAGAAAGACTGCAGGAAGGAAAGAGAGAAAGAAGAAATGAGAGAAAGAAGGAAATCGAAAGAAAGGAAGAAAGAAAGAAAGTTGGGAGAAAGATCAAAACAATGAAAGAATAGGAATTAAAGAGAAGGAAAATAAAAGAAATAAAATTAAAACTTTTTCCCCTTCATTTCAGGAAGAAACAAAAGAGAATGAATGACAAAAAGAAGGAAAAAAGAACAAACGGAAGAAAATAAAAGATAATTTTGGACAATACTAGAACTCCTATGGTTAGTATTTCGAATAGCAACACCTAAAGCATTTTTGGTCATGGAAGCCGCAATGTTTATTCCAAATTAGATTCTCACTGTGTTCGTTCCTCTTAGTGTTCCATCGCTTTAGTGTTCCATCGCTTTAGTGGTTTTGAGCTTCTGCAATGAAATCGTTTCATCATTTCATTCCATTCTTCACAGTTTTTCCCTTCTTTCACCGTTTAAGTCTCGCTCGAAGCAATTTCTTTGGGCCAAATTCTTGTAATTTAATTTCAAACACCAAAATGATTGCAAATTAAGGCGGCAGAGGTAAAAAATAAACTACCGTAAAAAGCATAAAAGATCTCTTTGTAACTACTATCTCTCTCTTATATATATATATATATATATATATATATATATATAAAGTGAGCTTATTGTTGTTCCAACGAGAGAAAAGTGTAGTAGAAATGCAATTTTTTTTCTTGGACTTGTGGATTACTGCTACACTCAAAAGACAATGGTCGAACATCGGAAAACATAAGGAAAATTCATTCCTTTTAATAATATGTGGGAATAACCACTCTTTGCCTGATGAAGGCCACGTGATTAGAAACTCGTGTTGCAAAAATATGGAAAATAAAGTATAATATATATTTTTTAAAATCCACATTATAACCAAAAACGTTTGCGTTTTTCTCTCTTCACTTTTTATATATATATATATATATATATATATATATATATATATATATATATATATATAAATATATAAATATATATATATATATATATATATACACACACACATATATATATATATAAATGTAAAAAGACAATAGGTATATAATAGTTGCCGACGCGTTTCGTCACATTGGACGAAACGCGTAAAATTTATTAAGGTTTTCCTATTATCTTTTACGTTTATAAATATTGTCTTTTTCTACAGGTTAACTCGGAGAAATTTTTCATATATATATAACAAAAGTTAATAAAAATGAACACGCTACCACCCCTTGTCTGAATGATTGAATTTCTCTGTATCCTTGGAAACAGTGAATTATGAATTTTTCTGTGTCTTTAAAACTCGGTAAATTTAAAATTAGATTACTCCAAAATTCGCTTGAGGATGAAATGGATTCTAATGTTTTTAATTTATTTACAAAATTAAATTTGAATCTTTTAGCTTCCATTTTTGAAACATGGTTATTACTGTGTAGCGAAAAAAAACATATTTTAAATCAGTTAATTTATAACATATATATATATATATATATATATATATATATATATATATATGTGTGTGTGTGTGTGTGTGTGTGTGTGTGTGTGACTTCAGAACCTTATATAATCATGGTTTATTGTTTCTTATAGTTTGTTTTTTTTTTATCTTTTGTTGTTCTCATCAATACCTTTGTCCTTCCCGACGCCTATTTTCAGGAAATTGTACTTCGTATACATTTACTCACCATTTAATCACTGCCTTCATCAATTTGTCTTACCTTTGAAGCGCCTTGGGTATACTAAATTCTCCAAACCTTCCTTTCTCATTATATATCTCCAAAATTTCAGCTTTCTCCTTCTGACTGGTAGCACACACAAAAACAAAAACGTATAGTTTCTTTTCTTATAATGCCTCCCTTGATCGGCATAGAGTCCATTCATAGTTATCTCAACATTTGTTGGTAAAACCAAATCATCGTTGCTTCAATTCTGAGTGTCATTTCACTGATTGATGATACTACTACTACTACAACTCTGTCAATCAAAAAATAACGAGTACAATAGAAATCAGTTTAGACTATGCAATATGAGATCGAATCCTGTTCATTCCACTTTTTTGGGGTCCAAGTTTCCTCAGTTTAATTAAACAACTGTAAAATAAACCGGCTACGAAATTTAGACAGCTTCAAAAAAAAAAAAAAAAAAAAAAAAATCTGTGTGACGCGTGTCGGTCCCCCAGAAGGAGTTCATTAAAGTAAAATAATGTTTTTGTTGATGGAATTAATATATTTGCGGGAAGGTGATGTCAGTTATAATGATGTAAAGAAACACTGAAGATGGTGGAACGTTGTAATTTAGCAAATTTGGGATCGTTTCTGTTAATTCGCCCCAAATAATGTAAAGTTACTTATCGCAAATATTTATTCATTCCAAGAAATTATAAATTTAAGATCAAAATTTGTTTAGCTTGTCTCACAATAACTCTTTTCCTACAGAATGAAAAATTGCCAAAGGTTCACATTTCGTAAATGACGATGGTATTCGATGTACTTATAAGGATTTTTTTACAAAAAATCTGTTTTTAGCTTGCTGATCAGGGGTGAGCACGGACGCAGACCCCACACTTAGAAATACCACACCCGAGTTGCTCACATTTGGGGCGTTCGCAAAGGTCAACCCAACCAGAGTGCAATGGAAGGACCTCGCTCTGGGAAAATTTGGTGTGAATTTTAGTAAATATAAATATTTTTTTTTATTTTGATATGTATCAATATTTTGGGGGTGAATGAAGGGAAAAGATCCGAAACTTGCGTCCAGGTTGTTACACCACTGAATCTTTTCTCGAGAGATCTTCGATTATCAAAATATGGGAACTTAATAATGAAAATATGCAAAACAAAACAAAAATAGAATAAGAAAATTGAATGAAATCAGCTAGACACGTCTAACAAGAAATAAATTAAAAACTTCAAATTCCAGCGTTCCAACGTCATCAGCGTTTCCTGTTTGCAGCATCATTATGACAGAAGATGATATATTTTTCTCTTTCTATTCTACACCAAATAAACATTACCCTGAGCCTGATGAAGTCCATCTTGGACGAAATGCGATACAAAGTATTTTCCGACAATATATATGTATGCAGATGCTAATTTCTATATCATTCGGTTCGTCTAGCTTTCTACCAATCTATCTGTGTCAATATGTTTATTTACCTGCCACCATATCCGTTCTATCTATTTAAGTCTATTCATATCCATCTATTTCTCAGTCTGTTCATATCTATCATCCTAGCTCGCAGTTTGTTCATATCTATCTATCTCCCAGTCATTTCATATCTATCTATCTCCTAATTAGTTCATAACTATCTATCTATTTCCCAGTCTGTTCATATCTATCTGTTCATATCAATCTATCTATATCTATCTATCTATCTATTCATATCTGGGGCACCTCGGCGTGGTGTAATCGTTAGCAAGCTTGTCTCGCTAGATCAATTACGACTGAGTAGTGAGTTCGATCCTCACTAGGTGCCCCATACTTCCGGCCTTGTGCCACACCTAAGTAGCGCTTAGAAACTCACTATCTATTCATATCTGTCTATCGATCTATCTATCCATATCTATCTGTTCATATCTATCTATTTATTCATATCTATCTTTCTATCTATCTATCAACTCGTCTGTCCATATCTATCTATCTATCTATCTATCTATCTATCTATTTCAGTCTGTTCATTATCTATCTATCTATCCATCCATCTGTCATCCCTCGCATGGATGTATGTATATAAGGTGTATACATAAGCCCTCCATCGACCAATTTGATCCCAACATGATATTTGGTGTAGCATTTGTGATAAACGTTGTAGGTCAACCAGCAGAAAAGAAAAACTAAACATCAAGATAATGATGCTCGTGTCAGAATAAACTCGCCTTCATCTTCAGCGCCGAATAGATTTTGCTTTTCGCTTGGGAGTCTCGTCAACTATTTAAGATATCATCAAAAGGCAGGCAAATTATTGCTGAAATGTTCCTTTGGTCGTTATGAGTTTGGTTTTTTTTTGGGGGGGGGTAGTCTTAATTGGTCATGAATGGATTTCGTCATATATACATCATTCTCTATATTTCTTATATAATCATCTCATTCTCTTCCTCTCTGTATCGAAATCAGTTAATCTTTCCACCTCTCTCTCCATCACTATGTATAGTTCACTAAAAATAACGTTGAAGTTGTATATATATATATATATATATATATATATATATATAATTTCTTCGATCTACCTGTCTTTTACTTATAATTCTCAATTCCTTCTCTTTCTAGATGTCTATTTATATATGTCTATCTCAGATCTATTTCAGTCACTACACACACACACACATATATATATATATAATTGCAGCCCCAAACAAAACAAGCTAGTTGCACTCCCACCCACCAACAAAAAAAAACTATGAATGCTTCAGGACGAATACTTCCAATAAACCAAGATTAACAAATTAGATTTTGTCAATCATTTCGTTTATTCAGATGTTTCGTTCACATCCAATCGGAGACGAGATCGATAAATTGTTACACGGATAAAAACAGACACACATGAATTTGTAAAAGCTGTAAAAAAAAAAAAATGTCTCCTTTTGGTCAGTTGCTGGCTAGAAAATCCGACGAGAATGAAGTTGGCACGAATTTGTCAATAATTGAATAGATTGTCTTTGGTAAAAGTGTGGCTACACTCTGTCCAGGCGTGACTTTGTCGCCATAAATACAGGCCAAAAGACACATCAGCAATAAATTTAATCGATCCTGACGAGGAAAACAGGTGTGGATCCATTTTTGTTGTCCGGTAGTAGAGAGTAGTATATATATATATATATATATATATATATATATATATATATATATATATATATATATATAACGTCGATTTTAAAAAAATAGCCCTTCAGTAATATTTTTCATACCGATGATTGACTTTAACGAAGTGTCGATCGAAAGGTTATATTTATTTTCGATTTTATCCAAGGTTATATTTATTTTATTCAATTTTAAATGGTTAAATATAATATATATATATAAATTTTATATTTAGGGAATTATATCAAATTTAAATTTTATTCTATATATATATATATATATATATATATATATATATATATATATATATATATATATATATGAATATGTTATCACTGGAATTGAGGAACTCTGCTTTCCGATTAATCCGAGCCCTATACACTACTCCACCTTCATTATATATATATATATATATATATATATATATATATATATTATGGTAGCATGTTTTATATTTCATTGAATAATTTAGACAAGATTTGTCTATTTATTTTCAATTGGATCCTTTCATATACCCAGACAAGCTTCTTGGTTTCCTTATTTAAGGAAGAAGAGATAGCTACCGTGTTGATACATATTTGAGTATTTTCAACATACGACATTAGCATAAACATGATTAGTTCGAGACATATGTTGCAGTATTCCTCATTTTCAAAGACAAAATTGTTCTGTTCATCTGAAAATATATATATATATATATATATATATATATATATACAAGGTAATTTATATTTATGATTTAAGTATATAAATAAAAAAGTGGATATTGAGGTCAATATCCAGCGGAGACAAATAAAATCTTTTATTATATATATATATATATATATATATATATATATTTTATATATATATTATATATATAATAAGAAAGAACAGTAAGATATATAATCCGGTGTTCTTATTGATATTTTTATTTTTACAAAACAGTAATTTTCGACGGATTTGCACCAAAATTTACATGCACATGCTCCAAGTTAGCAGAAAGGCCAAGACCGACATTGCATTTCCCAACTCCCATCGATAGTGGAAATAATCGATTTTTTTCATGCTTCTACGGCAGTTTTCATGTAGTTTGCGGCCATTTTCTACTGGCCAGAGTGAGAGCCTATAGCTGGCTGCCACGAATAGGCAGGAAGATTCTATTGGCCAGCGTGAGAGCCAACAGCTGACTGACACGAATGTTAACTAGCATGCAAAAAAATCGATAGCTGCATTCGTCACAAGTGGGAAAAATTTAAATCTGCATGGCACTTTACTCCAATTGGCTCATTCGCTTGCTTAAACTCAACGTTGATTCTGATTCCGCAGAACTGGGTTGGATGTGAAAAAGTATTTGTTGTTAACATTCTTTTTTCATTCGGTTTTTCCAGTTACGAGTCCTTTTTTAAAGCTGATCGTTTTGTGTTCATTTTGTTTAGTTCTTTTTTCGTAACAGATTTAATGTTTAATATAGAGCTTAGAAAAAATTCGCAGTGTGAGATAGGCAAGAAGTAAGGCATGTAGCAACATCAACACTGCAAAAGGCACTCCTTTAAAAGCAAGGAAGGGCAAAAATATTTTAAGTCAAGTGATAGCGATTGCTGTATGAGTCGTACGATTTTTGAATCAAGCACGGGCAACGCTGCTAGTATATATATATATGTATATATATATGTGTGTGTAAAGAGAGAGAGAGAGAGAGAATTTATTAAACTATTATTTTCTTCAAATACTGAACTTACTTAACAACAGTAGTTCCGAATGAAATATTGAAAGCCAAACATCACACGCTTACGTAATGAACTTGTGTCTTTGGGTGAAATTCAGCATATTTGAGGAATTTCTTTTAAGTGCTAGTAGAAGACATTTGCCTTTTTATCCGATCAAATCTATTCTTTTTTATTTATTTTTTTAGAGCTTTAGGCTTTACTCATGGATTTTGAATGATAGTGATTCGAGTGAGTGTTTCTTTTTTTTTTTCTCTTCTGTCTTCGTGAAACGTTAATTTAAAAACAGACAAGATTTATTGGTAAAAGGATTTAATTAGGCACGGTGATATAAGGGGTGAGGTGCACGTCGATTTATGGGTGCATCCATGAGCTCAGTTAAATATCTGGGGAGAAAGAAAGATTTATTGATTTTATATATATATATATATACACAATATATGTATATATATATATATATGTGTGTGTGTGTGTGTGTGTGTGTATTTTATACGGTTATTTTACATAAATATCATCAGCCCTAAGTGTCTGAGACAGACAAAAGGGCTGATGATAACCATTTTTTAGTCTGACCTCTATGCTGAGGTAACATTTGTTGTTGTTGTTGTAAAAAATACATATGCTCTGTTATAATAAATACATCGAGCTCTCTGTAGGTCAGTTTTAATAATTAATATTACTAGGATACACCATGGTTATATATCAACGGATCGATTACCTCTACTATCTCTCTCTCTCTCTATATATATATATATATATAAAAACAAATCGTCGATGATCTTTCCCGAACAATTATACGATTATATTTGCTCATGAAATGTACTTTAACGTAAACAATGACAACATCTTATGAAATGGATTAAGTCCGATAAGTATTTCATATATTCTTTGTTTATTTATTA